AATCGCAATTAGATTATTTTCCCAAATCGTTCAGCCCTACTTTAAGTCAGTTCAGCGAGTTCAGTTTATAGCGACAGTAAGGACGAAGGGCTGTAACTTTGCTCTGACTTCTTCCAATCATCCGGCAGCATACAGCATGAATAGAAAATCTGATCCCAATTGGAGCAATGGGAAAAGTCTTTATCTTAGTCATCCTCACCTGCACATTTAAAAAGTCAAAGAACCACTCACCTCCCACCCAAAACCCCCCAACCCACAAGGTCTGTTGGATACCTAAAAGTATAGGCAGAGATGTGGTGTAATTGCTGTAAATAGTAATTTAACAGCCAAGGAATAAGAGGCTGTTTCTGTTTTACAGGACCAGGTGCAACGTCTGGTACATAAGCTGTTCCCTCATGTAGTTCACACATTCCAGGATGATAATGCCACCATACACCCTGCTGAATAAATTCAAAAGTGCTTCCATTAGCAGCTGGATGAAGTCAAACACCTTCCATGTCATTCCCCTTTATGGGACTTTCAAGAGCCAAGAGCGTAAAGTAGTTCTTCATCCCTTGGTGAGCTGGAGTGAACAATAAAGACCAGTGGTGTCCGTACAGCGCTTTCTTCCTGAACTTTCAAGGGCTGAAGCTGTTCAAACTGTCAAGAATGGCACTATTCTTATCAGGTTGATGATGCTGAAATAATGTCATACATCTAGACGTGGTGTCAGGTTGTTCACATTAAGCCAATTACCCACATACCTAATCATAAATGCCCATATTTTCTTTTAAGGACACCTATAAAATGTGCCACTGTGATGTGGCCACTGACTAGTCAAGGCCAAACATCTTGCTCACATCTGGCTTTCAAAGAGCAGCAAAACACCACGGCCATGGAAGTGAAAAGCCCCTCACAGCGACAGGTAAAGAGTGATATTCATGAAGAATTTCATTCAAACAGCGGAGGTAGAGGAAAGCCATTGACAAAGCACCCTGCAACGACTGGCATAAAGGCAACAGTATTCACAGGAGAGTAAAAACAATAATTACTATCTTTTCAATATTGTATTATCATTACTACAGCTCCAAATTATTTCACATAGAACATTTTATTGCACTCGACTATGTTCGAGTGTTCTGCATTGAATTAACTGGGTAGATAATGTGGACCTGCT